TTGATATTCACCGATGATCCAAAAGAATATATATATATATTTTTTTAGAAAATATCCGTGGCGATTTAGCGATCATAGTTTCAAAGAAATTTTACGATTCAGTTTCGTTTTTTTTTTTTTTTCGAAAAAAATAGACAAATATTTAAAGTATCTTTCAATCTATCGATCCTAATGATTCTCCTAAGAAATTTTTCATTTTTTATTTTCGAGAAAAAATAATTCTTAATAAAATTATTATTGGAAAATATAGTATTCAAATTAAAATTTGATTCAAATTCCATACATTCGTATCCTTTAAAAAACAAAGTTAAAAATTTATAATTATTGCTAATTTAAATTTTTCACAGCGATGATAGATGGTTCGTTCTTTTAATTTAACTATTTCGAAGGCACTTCTAATTTTTACGCAATTTTTCGTTTTAATTAATTCAAGAGAAAAGCACTCGAATTCCACGTTGAATACTATACTTCATTATAACGTGCAATTTATTTTTTCTATAATAAAATGATAAAACACTGCTTAAGCTATCCAGCTAAATTTGAATTTTAAATTGAAGCAAATATTATATAACATTTAATCATTAAAAAGAAGGATCTATAGAATCGACAAAATTCATGCCCAACTGATATCTCATCTATATTTCAAAGATTCTAGCAACTTCTCCAACACTTGCCGTCCCTTTAATGATTTTTATTCGTCATATACGTTATCATGATCAATAGTTTCTTCCTATAAGTACGTCTTGCAACGTATTTCGATAAAATATTTACAAAAATCACAATTGTCGCGTGGTTCAAGATGAAAAAAAAAATAAAAAATACCCAACTTCGCTAAATTTTTAAAAAAAGATTTCGTATTTCGAAAATTTCGAAACAATTCGAGTTAAAATTCTCTAAGAAACTTCTCGAAATACCAACGTTTTCTTCTTCCAAAATTTTCCAACGCACAAAATTTCGAAGCCCGACAGGAAGTTGGAATCGAGGTGGCCGGGGAGATGGGTGGATTTTGCAAAATGGGTCCACGAGCGTGAAATTTCTCATCAGCGCTTTATTATCGGGGATTTACACGATTTCGATTGTTTCGATGCGACGTTGGGGAACGAATACGAGCGCGCGGGCGCGGCAAAGGTAGAAAAATTGCAGCCCCGTGCAATATAGATTTTCGCGATGAATACGGGCGCCCGTGATGTTTAGTCGCCGGTACGAATGCGCTCGCGGCCGAGCTTGTTTTTCAAATTAGAAATTTCGAGCCACGACTTGGACGTTATTAAAAATTTTGTCCTCGCTTTTTCCCTCGATATTACAACGCGTATTTATTTATTTATTTTTTTCTTTTCTTCTCTTTCCTTTCTTCGCGTTGGAAAGGAAAATTGCAAGACGAGGAAATATCGCGAAAAATATTATGCATGGTAATCGTTTGATAGATATGTTGTTATCTTAATGGATACGAAAGTGTGTATCACGTTGTCAGATGTATTTTCATTCTCGTGATTAAAAACTCCCTTTCTCGATCGTGGAATTTTTTATTTCGAATATAATTGAGTTGATCAGTTTGTAGGAATATGGATCATAAGATTTTCGTATAAGAATGTTAATTGTGTAATATATTTTGCGTCAGTTGGTATTTTTATAGGATTATAAATAAGTTTATAGCTGCAAGATAAATTTGAGAGAAATGGACAGTATTAAGTAAGGTTACAAAGTCTTATGCTTCTTATTCGTGATTTCTAATATCGAACGATAATATTTAGATTTTTTTAAGATATCTAAATTCGCGACATCTTCAGAGAAACGATCCATCTCTTTCAGAATTATTTTACAAATAATTTCATTTCCGTTGAGTAATAATATTTTCCGCTACTAAAATTCAGATTAAAATCCGGAACATAAACACATATTATAAATTTTCAAAATAATTTAACAGAATTTTTTCACGCAGAAAATAAACAAACATATTACCCTTTAATCTCAGACAGATAACATATTGACACTTAACATTAGATCAAGGAAAAATGCAACGGATGTATACGCTTTTCATTCGACCGTATAACGTTGAAATAAGAATTATAATTGTTATATTAACCGAGGAGAGAACAGAAAAAAAAAAAAAAATAATAATTTTTCTTTCGAAGGATGGACGG